TCAGTGCTTTGAATTTTGACCATTCTGATAAATATATAGTAGCATTACATTGTTGTTTTAATTTAAAATTCCCTAATGACATATGATGTTGAACATCTTTTAATATACTTATTTGCCATCTCTATATCTTCTTTGATGTCTATTCAGGTCTTTTGTGCATTTTTAAATTGGGTTGTTTTCTTATTGTTCAATTTTAAACTTTCTTTTTATGTTTTGGGTAGCAGTCCTTTATCAGTCGTGTCTTTTTCAAATATTTTCTCCCAGCCTATGGCATATCTACTCATTCTCTTGACGTTGTCTTTCACAGAGAAGAACTTTTTAATTTTAATGAAGTCAATCTTATCAATTATTTCTTTTATGGCCCATGCCTTTGCTGCTGTATCTAAAAAGTCTTTACTTCACCATACTCGAGGTCCTCTAGGTTTTGTCTTATGTTACCTTTTAGAAGTTTTATAGTTTTGTATTTTGGCTTTATATTGAAGTCTCTGATCCATTTTGTGGTAATTTTTGTTAAAGGCATAGGTTAGTGTATACATTCATTTCTTTTGCATGTAGAAGTCCAGTTGTCCAGCAGTAATTGTTGAAAATACTGTTTTTGCATCATTGTATTTCCTTTGCTTCTTAGTCAAAGATTAATTGAACATATTTATGTGAGTATATTTTCTGGGCTCTTTAGCCTGTTCCATTTATCTATTTGTCTATTCTTTCACCAAGACCACACTGTTCTGACAACTGAAACTTTATAGTTAATCTTGAAGTAGGGTAGTGTCAGTCTTCCAACTTTGTTCTTCTCCTTCAATATTAAGTTGTATAGTCTAGGTATTTTGACTCTTCATATAAACTTTAGAATCAGATTGTCAATATCACAAAAAAAAAACCTCCATTGGGGTTCTGAATAGGATTGCACTGAATCTATAGATCAAGTTGGGGAGGACTGACATCTTGATAATATTGAGTCTTCCTATCCATGAACATGAAATAATCTCTCCATTTATTTAGTTCTTCTTTGATATCTTTCATCAGAATTTTATAATTTGCTCATATATATATTGTACGTGTTTTGTTGTATTTAAACCTAAGCATTTCAATTTTGGGGTGCTAATGTAATGGTAATATATTTTGAAATTAAAATTTTACTTGTTCATTGATGGTGTATAGGAAAGCAATTGAGTTTTGTATACTAATCTTGTATCCTACTACCTTGTAATAATCACATAGTAGGTTCAGGAGGTTTTCTTTTGTTGATTCTTTCAGATTTTCTGCATATACAATAATGTCATCTGTGAACAAAGACAGTTTTATTTCTTCCTTCCCAATATATATGTTTGTTTTTTTTAATTTTCTTTTCTTACCCTTTGCATTACCTAGGACTTCCAGTATGATGTTTAAAAACAGTGGTGAGAAGGGACATCTTTGCCTTTTTCCTGGTCTTAGCAAGAAAACTTCAAGTATCTTACTAATAACCATGACATTAGCTATAAGTCTTTTGTAGATGTTCTTAATCAAGTTGGAAAAGATTCTCACTATTCTTAATTTGCTCATAATTTTTATCATAAATGGATGTGGGATTTTGTCAAATGCTTTTTCTATTGACAAGATCATATGATTTTAAGTCTTTTTAAAAATATTTTTTTTCTTTCAGCATATTATGGTGGTACAAATGTTTAGGTTACATGTATCACCCTTACCCCACCTGAGTCAGAGCTTCAAGCGTGTCCATCCCACAGAGGGCGGACACCACACCAATTAGGTGTGTATATATCTATTCCCTCCTCCCTCTTCCCATCTGCCTGACACTTGACGAATGTTATTACTATATATGCACTTAAGTGTTGGTCAGTTAATACCAATTTGCTGGTGAGTACATGTGGTGCTTGTTTTTCCATTCTTGAGATACTTCACTTAGTAGAATGGGTTCCAGCTCTATCCAGGATAATACAAGAGGTGCTATATCACCATTGTTTCTATGGCGATATAAACGCCATGGTATACATATACCACATCTTATTGATCCACTCATGTATTGATGGGCACTTGGGTTGTTTCCACATCTTTGCTATTGTGAATTGTGCTGCTATAAACATTCGAGTGCAGGTGTCTTTTTGATAGTGTCTTTTGTTGACTCTCCTCATTCTAGCTCCATGAAAGAGTAAGGAGCTCTTTGACAAGGAAATCTTTTCTGCTTTGTATTGAGGAGGCTCATCTACTAAAATTGTCTCTTTTTAAAAAAATTAGATGTTTGTCTCTGCATCTTTGCAGAGGCAATGGTTTGAGATATCTGGAGACAATGTAATTAGGAGCTCTTTATAACTTGAGCATTGGTGAACTCTGATGGGCAGGTGAGGAAATGAAGGAAATGAGAGAAAGCTTGTCTGGACTTGTGATGCTCCTCTGTAAGCCAAGAGGTTGAAGCCCTCCAACTTCTAGGTCTTCCCTGGTAACGATGATCTGTGTCTCTGGATCAGTCCTCAGCCTGGTGGGTCCAAGAAGAGAACATAGAGTGCTTTAGGACTGTGGTCTGTCAGGAACATGGCCACACAGCAGGAGTGAGCCACAGCAAGGAAAGCTTCATCTGTATTTACAGCCACTCCCATCATTGCATCACCACATAAGCTCTGCCTCCTGTCAGATCAGTGAAACCATTAGATTCTCATAGGAGCAGGAACCCTACTGTAAACTATATGCAAGGGATCTAGATTTGGGTGATCCTTATGAGAAGCTAATGCCTGATGATCTGAGGTGGAGCTCAGGCGTTGATGCCAGCCCTGGGGAGCAGCTGCAAGTACAGAGATTATCATTAGTAGAGAGGTTTTACTGCACAATAAATGTAATGCACTTGAATCATCCTGAAACCATTTCCCCACCCCCCTCATCTGTGGAAAACTTGTCTTCCATGGAACTGGTCCCTGGTCCAAAAAGCTTGGGGACCACTGCTTTAGGACCATAGATAGCTTCCCTGGTGGTAGCTCATCCCATGTGAGCCTACTTCCCAACACAGAATCTTTCAAAAATTGGATGCTGCTCAGAGGACCAGTTAAGGGACAGGCACTCACCTAGGTGGGACTTGGGTTAAGTTTGGAGATGGAATACAGGATAGGAAAGACACTGGTCATAGGGCCGGAGTGGCGCAGCCCTGGCAGGGGGGAGCGGCGGGCGGGGTGATCAAGGCACCGCGCCCTTGTATCCTACTACCTTGTAATAATCACATAGTAGGTTCAGGAGGTTTTCTTTTGTTGATTCTTTCAGATTTTCTGCATATACAATAATGTCATTTGTGAACAAAGACAGTTTTATTTCTTCCTTCCCAATATATATTATCCAGGATAATACAAGAGGTGCTATATCACCATTGTTTCTATGGCTGAGTAGAACGCCATGGTATACATATACCACATCTTATTGATCCACTCATGTATTGATGGGCACTTGGGTTGTTTCCACATCTTTGCTATTGTGAATTGTGCTGCTATAAACATTCGAGTGCAGGTGTCTTTTTGATAGTGTCTTTTGTTGACTTCCTCCTCATTCTAGCTCCATGAAAGAGTAAGGAGCTCTTTGACAAGGAAATCTTTTCTGCTTTGTATTGAGGAGGCTCATCTACTAAAATTGTCTCTTTTTAAAAAAATTAGATGTTTGTCTCTGCATCTTTGCAGAGGCAATGGTTTGAGATATCTGGAGACAATGTAATTAGGAGTCTCTTTATAACTTGAGCATTGGTGAACTCTGATGGGCAGGTGAGGAAATGAAGGAAATGAGAGAAAGCTTGTCTGGGACTTGTGATGCTCCTCTGTAAGCCCAAGAGGTTGAAGCCCTCCAACTTCTAGGTCTTCCCTGGTAACGATGATCTGTGTCTCTGGCTCAGTCCTCAGCCTGGTGGGTCCAAGAAGAGAACATAGAGTGCTTTAGGACTGTGGTCTGTCAGGAACATGGCCACACAGCAGGAGGTGAGCCACAGCAAGGAAAGCTTCATCTGTATTTACAGCCACTCCCCATCATTGGCATCACCACATAAGCTCTGCCTCCTGTCAGATCAGTGAAACCATTAGATTCTCATAGGAGCAGGAACCCTACTGTAAACTATATGCAAGGGATCTAGATTTGGGTGATCCTTATGAGAAGCTAATGCCTGATGATCTGAGGTGGAGCTCAGGCGTTGATGCCAGCCCTGGGGAGCAGCTGCAAGTACAGAGATTATCATTAGTAGAGAGGTTTTACTGCACAATAAATGTAATGCACTTGAATCATCCTGAAACCATTCCCCACCCCCCTCATCTGTGGAAAACTTGTCTTCCATGGAACTGGTCCCTGGTCCCAAAAAGCTTGGGGACCACTGCTTTAGGACCATAGATAGCTTCCCTGGTGGTAGCTCATCCCATGTGAGCCTACTTCCCAACACAGAATCTTTCAAAAATTGGATGCTGCTCAGAGGACCAGTTAAGGGACAGGCACTCACCTAGGGTGGGACTTGGGTTAAGTTTGGAGATGGAATTACAGGATAGGAAAGACACTGGTCATAGGTTCAAAGAACCACAAGAGACATGCCCACCTCCCAGCCAGACAGTGTCTCTGCTGTAAATTCTCTCCAGTTCTACCAGCGGTTACTAAGCGCCACTTCTGCGCTGGGTACTGTTCTAAATACTGGGGACCTAACGATGAATATGGCCAGGGTCTCTGTTGTTAAGGTTCAGCTAGATGGAGTGCATCTTTGCAGAGCCCAGAGCAGGGCAGCCGACTGGTTCTTGCCCAAATCTCAACTTGTCTCTCTGCTTCCTAATTGATTGCAACCAAATTCCCACGGGCAAAAGACCAGAATAAACCAGTCTACCCAGCGCTCCCTCTGGCGTCCCTTGACGGCCGTTTGCAGCTTCCCAGCTGGCAGCGGAGGGGTGAGGGGTGGGCGGAGGCGGCTGGGACGCTGTGACCTGATTTCATTCGCCGTGCTTCTCCGTTCGCGGGCGCGCACCCACGTGACCACCTTCTCCTAAATAAAGTTGAACAGTTCTAGGCTGTGCTCATTTGCTGAGAGAGACAGCACTCAGAAGAGTGAGCTTCTCTTGCTGCAGCAGTCCCCAGCTGGCGCCTTTCCCCTCTATCCCTGCATCCTCGGAACAGCGGCATCATCCAGAGCCCAGCTCAGTGAAACGCCCAGGTAGGGTCCCCCACTCCCCGCTTACTAATCCGCACACAGACGGATGCGTGGAAGGGTGGGTGGTGGGGCTTTGGCTCTGGCGAATGGAGCTGTGCGGGGGCGTGGGGGGAGATCAAGAGAGAAAGAAAGAGCTCAATGTGTGAGAAAACACTTGGAAGGATAGGTGCAGGTCGTGTGTGTGAGTCCCGCTAAGCGCTCAAGGCTGTGGGGAGGCGATGTTGGACTCCAGATGGGAAAAGTGTGGTGGATCGGGAGTCTGGAACCCCTAAGCTTCCTCCCTGACCCTGCCTCAACCTTCTGGCGTAACCTTGAGCAAAGAGGCTTTCTTAACCTCTCCGAACTTCAGTTTCCCCATCTGGGAGAACTGTGCTCGCACTCCGGCCATTCCAGCTGGTAACGCAGCTGGGGACGTGGAAAAGACAATGGCGGAGAGTGTGGCGCACCTGTGCCACTGGCTGTGGAGTTGAGGGACCCGGCCAGAATCCACTAGGCGGAGGCTTCCTAGGGTTGGGAGTGGGTTATGTAGGGGCGGAACCGGGGAGCTCAGTCTTGGGGCGCGCATCCCCGTGGCACCTGAGTGCAGACACAGCTGTGCACCGACCTGGGGTCTCAGAATGCACTTCAGGGGCCGCTGCCTCCTTTCAATTGGGCTGGCGTCCAATCCAGATTCTTGCGTTCTAGCTGTGGCGGCCGGACTCCAGCTTGCTATATTTGGTTCCCCAGACAGTCAAGTTCTTCACCGCCCGCCCCTTCCCAAATATGCATCTACTCTGGGCTGGCAGCGGGGATGGGGGGAATTGAAGGGGAAGGGCAGAGAGAGCAATAAAGAGGGACAGGGAAGGGGTGTTTATGTCTGTGGGAGGGGGTGGATCCACAGCAAATTCCCAAGCGTCTAGTCCGAGCCAAGGAAGGAATTTGAAACCGCAAGTCTCCACTCTCAATTCACAAGGGTCCCCTACCTCAACTCTGCCCTTGGGGAATAACTAGCTGGTAGCTGCTAAGAGACCACACCCCGCTTGGAAAAAGGAATTGACAAGTAGGAGGTTCACCTTTCTGGAGCTCAGTGGCGATCCATTGTCCCACTAGCCTAATTTTGATAGTTCTCTGAAGACACACAGGTTTCATTCTACCTTGAGGGAGCAGTGAAGGGGAGAGGGAGGAAAAAGTAAGTCGGGAGTGGGGATGGAACGGCCATACTTACTGACCTAGGCAGAGAGTGACCCCTATTTATCGCTAGTCATTATCTGGTAGCTCCCTTTGACAGCAGTGGCAGCTGCACCCACTACTTGAATGGCCAAGAAGATGAATGTCTGAAGGGGAGGAAAACTCCCTGAGGCTGGGTCTTCTGCATCTGCATCAGACCCCAGGCACCCTGGGGAAGAGTGGGGCCAAAAAAGAGTTTAAATCTCCATCTCTTCCTTGGTTTGAATCTGAAATTGCAGTCGTCTGCCTTTGTGGGGTGGGGCAGGATAGTGCTTCTATCTTGAAAGTAAATAGACCCAGAGGCTGAATTATAAAATCCTGTTTCTACCCTCTCCTACAAAGTGCCCAGTAGGTGTAGGTCTACTCCTGCTACTTCAACTTCCCAGACATTCTAGGGCTAATAAATTCTTTATCACAGTACCTATCACCGCTAGTTTGCATCAACAAGTCACTATTAGGACTCCAACTTTTTGCAGGAGTTGATTTGGAATTCAAAGAAGAAATGACCCTCAGTGGGGTGTTCTGGTAGGGCAGAGACACAACTCTTACACGTACAAACAGTGATAGAGCCTCTGGGCCCTACCTGGGCCTCAATTTCTACTCCTGTATAAGATTTTAGCTTAGGTTAGTGGGAAGCTGCATGGCTCAGTGTTCATAGGAGACACACACATCCTCATGAACTGACAGCTCATGATACAGCCAGAAGATAATTAACTACTAAATTGTGTGGTAGAGCTTAAGGTGTCAGCCCTCACTTCTCACTCTCTATGCCACTTAATATATCACACTTTCACTTGATTCCCCTTCCCCCAGACAGATTAAAATGGAAATCAATGTATACCAGCCAACAAGCCTCATTGGGAAGAAAAGTAATCTGCTAAAGCAATTACTCTACACTCAGGCAGGGAAATAGTAGGAAAATAGGTCTATAGATTGTTGTGGAGGAATAAAGAAACGGTGATAATCTTAAATATGTGGTTTTCAAAGATGATCCTTAAGCATGTTGAGATCTGCAACATAGCCTTGGCTGTCCAACCTTCCTTTCTAGTGGCTCTAAGTGGAGAGGAGCTCAGCATCAGACCAGGGAAGTAGGTAGTGTGCTAGTGCCCAACCTTCATTGGCAGTACAGCTTCAGACAGCAGTGAGGTACCTTATTGTTAACTCAGCAACTATAGCCCTAGAACAGTTGCCTGGGGACTTAGTTCTTTAGTGCTAGGCTGTTTTGAGGGTAATGGTGTATTTGTTTTTCTTTTAATATTGTCTTCATTTGAAAACATTTTTAGGCCCAGGTTAATGGAAGACAATTTTCATTTCAATCTACACTAAAGTAAAATTAAAACACAAACAACAACCAACTATTCTAACAAATATATACAAAAGATAAAGGTTTGGGCCATTGAGTCTGCATTTCTGTTTCTATGTTCCTTTTTTCCTTTTCCTTTTCCTTTTTTTTTTTTTTTTGCATGTCCACTGCAGTAAAATCCATAATCAGTATGGGGGTTATTTTTTCTTGGGGGAGGGAGATTATCAGATGGAATAGGGCAGGAGTATGAGAGGAGGAAATGAAGACCAGAGCAGATCCTCAGAGGCAGTGGTAAGTGATCAATTTAGGTTGTTTTTACCAAGTTCCTGGAAGATGGTTCTAGAGAAAAGAACATACACTTGAAGATGTCACAACTATACTGAAAGAACTCAGGCTTTCATGATGGCACCTGAAGCAGAGTACTATAGTCAGGAGACTGGAGGCCTCACCTGTATCTATAGCCATACCCCTCCCCTCTGTACACCCACACATACTTTAGTTTGATGAATTGTTGTTATATTGACTTGAATTCAAGGAATAAGTACCTGGAATTGACATAGGAATGATTCCATCTGGGGCCATCCATCATGCTACCCCTGGCCCATCCCCCTAAATTTCTCCTTAGTGCTTTAACTAGGATAAACAGAGAAAATGGGACAAGGTATCACGTGGACTAATGAAATCACTAGTTGGCTTATTTAAACCTTCCACTCCCCCCCTTTTTTTTTTTTGAGACAGAGTCTTGTTTTGTTGTCCAGGCTAGAGTGAGTGCCATGGCGTCAGCCTAGCTCACAGCAACCTCAAACTCCTAGGCTCAAGCAATCCTCCTGCCTCAGCCTCCCGAGTAGTTGGGACTACAGGCATGCACCACCACGCCCAGCTAATTTTTTCTATATATATTACTTGGCCAATTAATCTCTTTCTATTTATAGTAGAGACGGGGTCTCGCTCTTGCTCAGGCTGGTTTCGAACTCCTGACCTCAAGCAATCCGCCCGCCTCGGCCTCCCAGAGAGCTAGGATTACAGGCGTGAGCCACCGCCCCCGGCCTAAACCTTCCTTTTATATGTCCTCTATCATTAAAAAACAAATGGGCACTTTTAATGAATGATTCCAGCTTGGAGGGCAAAGCTAGGGGGTAGGGGATAGCTGGATAGGGACAGTTTTAAATGTTCATTGAAAAGGAGTTTTCCAAAGCACACTTCTTGCCTTGGTTGCCTGCTGAGGCCAGCTCAACAGCTCTCCTGATCCAGACAGCTACTTCCACTCTGAATCTTTAATCCAGGTCTACCTGGCACTGGGAATTTGGTATTTCATTCTCTATTGCAGATAGTATATTGCTTTGAAAATAGCAAACATGTTTCCCATCTTCTTATTTGAACCTTCAGCCTTTTTAACTAAAAAATAAAGGAACTTCATGAAACTGTTTAAAGTCCCTTTCAGCTCTGAGATTCTAATATTCTATGATATGATGAAATTCTGATATATCTCCAAATTACACAGGACCCTTTCATGAAGCCAGATAACACAGATCTGGAAGAGGGGTGATGTTCTTTAAAAAATTATTTGGCTTTTGGGTAAGAAATATATAGATAGTCTGCATCATATTTCTGCCTTCCAGTATCTACCAAGTCCAAGGGAAGAAAAATGCAAGACTTCCATTTTGCCTACCTTGCTTTGCCTGGACACATGGCTTACTTTAAAACCAGAAGCCACAAGGTAGGAGCTGTTGAAATGTAATCAAGTGGAACCCCAGTTTCTCCCTCAAAAGATAAGCCTACCTTGTCATTTTTATGTTCAATTATGGGTCCTTTAATCCAAAGAGGTTTACATAATGGACTAGACACTGGAATCTTTGGATGTGACTGGACTATAACCTCCATACCTTCCTCAAGGGACCATCAAAAGTTGCATTTGTCAAATAGCATCCACCAAAAAGAATAAATTGCTCAAAAATGGGCATAATTCTGAGCTAAATCTTGGAGTCATTGGTGGGAGCATCTTTCTACAATACTTCTGCACTTGTATGTAGTACATATTGGGAAGGAGACATTTTATATAATGTTTACTGCCAATGTCATTGGCTTTGACCTTTGACTATATTTTGTTTACATTTTTATTACTTTATATCATTGTGTAATGATCTTCTTTCTTATGTGTGCAGCCCTAAATCTGCTATGTTGCCTTTTTATCAAAATGTACCATATTTCCTCTCTGATGCTTTTCTAAAATCTAGCATTTAAACTCTCCTGGAAGTTAACATATTGTGGGAGCATATGTACTTCTGATTAGGGAGAACAGCTAATTTACTTCTTTTAATAACAATAGTATGCCAATTTATAGTAAACAAGAGTGCATTAGAGTTGGAAAGTGCTTCACAACACAGTTAATTAGTAAACAGGCATTTAGCTCCTCATTGCAGGGAGGGCTAGGCTACAGACTTCCATTAAGAAATTAATTATAATTATGGAATATATAATTATTCCCCAAACAAAGGTTACCATTCAGAATGCCCAAAATTCAGGTAGAACCATGGAACAGTTTTGAAGTTGGTAGTAAACGAAAAAAAAAAAAAAACAAAAAACAGTACATACACAAGTTTTCTGAAAGGTTAAAAAGTATCTTCTAAGCATAAGTTATTTTAAGATTTGTTGTTATTCTAGATCAACTTTGTCAATGTCCTTGCACTGAAATCAGCCAATCAATGGAACTATTTTAAAATTGGATGTTTAAAATAGCATTTTGCCATTGTTTGCTATAGGCTGCATGGATTGGTGTTTTTAAAATGACTTTTAAATTGGCTTTCAGATAATATGGTCCTTTAACTAGAGTTAAAATGCTTAAAATACATATTATTTTGGCCCAGGTTATTTTTTGGGGTTTCCAATTTTCTACAATTTAAGAAAATGCTTAATTTCTCATTAAAAACACGTCCTTACTGCCAAAGTATGTGCAAATGAACATTAAAGAAAAGGGAGACAGTGTTCTGCTGATATCTCTTGTGTAATGTCACTAATATGCTCCACCCCATTCAATGAGCTATGCGTGTGTTGTGTATGCTGTGGTCACTCAGTAACCCAGTATTAATAAAAAGTTGACTCCACTTTTTTCAAAACTAGCTCCTGAGGTAGCCTACTGGAGATTGCTGCCATTTTCCTGAAGAGGGAATCCAAGTAGGCTCTTCTTCAGCCATCTTCAAGCCAGGGACTGTGAGAAGACTTCGAGAAGAGTTTCATTTTTGGCTTTTCTTCCAATGAGATCACCCCTCAACTTAGGATTCATGCCTGCCTTCTGGACTTCCGAAGACTTTGAGAATGTTAATAAGCTGAATGCAACCATCCAGGCTGAAACCACCCATCTGGAGGCTCCCCTGTCCTCCACAGTGGCCCTGATAATAGTGCTGATAATTATTTTCTCATTGGTAATGACCTCCTTTGTGACATACTGTTTCCACAAGTGGAAGCTGAGAGGTCACAAGCTGCAGAGAGCTCAGGAAGAATATCAAAGAGATCAGGAGAAAAATATATTTCATAGCCCTTCTGATCTCATTTCCTAAAAATGCAGTAAACTTGCAAGTTAAGTGCATCATCTCAAACAAAGCAACGTTAAAGAAAGGACAGGGAATGAAACAGCATGAAATAAGAAGTAATTGGACATAAAACAATAAAAAAGTGAAACAAGAAGTAAAATCTCAGCAGCAAAATGACACATTGCAAAAACGGCATGAAGTGAAAGGCAAGGAGAATGACAATTGTACAATGAACTCTGAAAGCAAGAGTTCATGTTGTAGCTGATCTGTTAATCACACTGTTCATTGTTTGAAAGTTGCTGACAGTTTCATTATAGGTTATAAGCACCTTGGTGGTAGGTTTTGTTTTGTTTTCAGGGGATTTTTTTGGTGTAAAGTGTAAGCAAGGCTGTCAGTGTGTGTTTTATCTACATTTTATTTACCATTAACATTTGATTTCGTGATGAATTTGAATAAATAGAATTTCAGTACTATTCATTTATTTATCAAGGATGGCCGGGTGAATACACGGACAGGAATTTTGTTTAGTATTGGGCTTATACTGTAGTAATTTATTTCCTAGCTAGTAACATTTGTCATGAATAAGAGAAAGAGAAAAATAAAGATTCTATAATCATAACACATATAACTAATATTTTAAGTACTGACTATAACAAAATAAGTAGTTATGTTGAAATATAGGCAATGGGTGTTTTATAAACAAGATGGGAGAAAAAGAAAACCAAATCCCAGTTACCCCATCCCTCTGAAGTTTTGCTTAAGTTATGGATTGCTTGAAATTAATATTATTTTATGTATATGTTTGAAGCAAAATTATTTTCTGGTAATAGTGCTATATGTATACTTGTATTGGTAAAACAATGTGATCATTATGAATGAGACAATTTTTAAAGTATATGTTATTTACGTAGTGCTGATCATTAAAATATGAAATTTTCTTGGATGTTATCAATGAAATCTATTAACAGATATATTATAAAATGCATTGTGGAGCATACCAATTATTGGATAAAAAGGTAAGCAGTCCTACTTTGTGACTCAATAAATGTATGCATTAAAAAGAAAATGCTAGTTTTGGGAAGCTAATAAGAGCAATTGTCTTGAGTTAAAATTGTCTTTATTACAGTACTTAAAGTAGAGAAGGGCCGGGGTTTGAGGCTGGTGGAGAGCAATGTATGCACACCAGAGGATGTCTTAAAAGGGAAGGAGGTGGAATGAAATTGAACCAAAGGGATTTATGAAGTACATAGAGGTTTTTTTATTTTTTTAATTTTTTTCCATTAATAAAGTATAAACATTTATTAAAAGAAAGACCAAACAAAAAATCAACAGGTACAAAGGATTTCAAGAGAATGCAACTCTCAAAATCAGACAGACCTCATGTCACAGGAAATGCTCCAGAATAGAAAAATGACTATTATTTATTTTTTTGAGACAGAGTCTCACTTTGTTGCCTGGGCAGAGTGCGGTGGCATCAGCCTAGCTCACAGCAACCTCAAACTCCTGGGCTCAAGCAATCCTTCTGCCTCAGCCTCCCGAGTAGCTGGGACTACAGGCATGCGCCACCATGCCCGGATAATTTTTTCTATATATGTTTAGCTGTCCAAGTAATTTCTTTCTAATTTTAGTAGAGATGGGGTCTTGCTCTTGTTCAGGCTGGTCTCGAACTCCTGAGCTCCAACGATCCACCTGCTCGGCCTCCCAGAGTGCTAGGATTACAGGCGTGAGACACTGCGCCTGGCCTTACATAGAGTTTTAAGGGCCCAGAGAGCAAAAACATTTACAGAGATAAAATACATGGTCTCTGTTCTCAAGGAACTTAGATTGGGACTCAAAATGAACATTTAGGATAAAAGCTAAAAGTATTTACAAAGCAAATTCAAATACATATAACCCCAATACTTCTAGGCTTCACCAACCTGTGTATACATACACAGTCTATTAAGAATAAGAACCCAATGTTCTTGTTTCCTCCTGCCACTTGCTCACCCAGAACCTCCAACCTCCCTTGCAACTTTACTAGGAGTCTTTAAACTATGCAAGTAGGGTGTGGAGAGTGGGGCAATAGTGTTTATAATCAATACTTTAGTTACTATGTAGTGACTACCATGTTCTTTATCTCATGCTTTGTTTCCTATTTGACATCATCTACCACCTTCAAAGCTGCTTTAAGGAGCCTCACTGTTAACCCCTGAAAATGGTGTTCATTATGTAGAAGTCATGTCTGTGCTAACGGTACTATCTTCTAGTTCTTACAAAACACCATTCCTTGTGGTGCCAGAGTAGTGTGGGATTACTTATAGAATTAAAGAGAAAACTTTTTCTCTGATTCTGTGTTAGGCTTTGTCAACTGGATTCCAAAGGAGCATTGCTAGTTCCCAGACCCTCAACAAAATCATTCCACCTCAAAAACACCTGATGTTCAAAGCCACCCAAGGGGTAGAGTTGAGAATAAACACAGCATACCATCTGCCTTCAATTTGGCTCCGAATCTTCTCCCTCCTTTGATCCATTGCAAAACAAATTCTGCTGCCCCCTTCCAATATTAATAAATATAAAAAGACAATGAAAGGGAGTAGGAAAGGTATTATCATGCTCAGTCCCCCAAAATGTGCTATTATAGTAGTTCAAGATATAAAGGGGTATGTGGAGTAAGAAAGTAATCTAAGAGGTGGTATGGATTGATAGGGATTTTGTTCCATAGGAACAAAACAGGATTTTGAATCAGATTTTGAAGAAACAGAAGAATGTGATATACAGGAGTAGAAAAAGTGATTTAATAATCCTGGTGGGATAATGACATTTCCAAACCTTTGAATATTTGATATTCCCCCTTTCCTGGGGCAAGGAGATTATCAGTCTTCTGGGGAGGCTTGTGAGGGGACATGAAGGGTTTGCTAGAAATGTGGCTTATCTAAGGTGGCAGGTGAAGCTGAAAGGTGGGTAAGCTAAGCTGAGGTTCAAAGGGGTGCCTAGGTCTTTAAGCCAAGGAAAGTCATCCAAATCAGCCTTCCAATAGAGGAGAAAAGACTTAACTAGACAAAACTAAGCATGGGAATTGGATAGAGCTGGGGAAAACAGGTTGAGTGGGTAGGTGGGACGTCAGTCCCAGGCCAATCTCTAGGTCCAGTTATGTTACCCTTAGATTTCTTTCTATGTGTATAAATAGCTGTGACAAATAGAATGAAAATGTGCTCATTAAATCAAATAAGAATTCTATTTCTCTTTCATGTAACAATCTGGGGTAGAATTTCCAAGTTGGCTGGTGGTGGTTGGGTGAGAGTAGGGGGTTGTGCTCCATGAAATGTTTAGGGATCCAGTCTTTAAGACCCGGCTTTCATTTTGTCCATATTATTATAGTTATCATTTCAGTACACACACAAAAAGTGGGAAAGAGTAAGGGACAATATACATGAAGGTTTTTATGAGGAAGTCCTTGAAGCAAGATGTATCGCTTCTGTGCACATTCCATTGGACAGAACTTTGTCCTCATGTAGCCGTACCTAACCATAAGGGAAGCTGGTAGTATAGCTAGGTAGCCATATACACAGATAACTGTGGAAAATGGGGAGAAGGGATTTTAGAGGACAGCCAATAGTCTCACCATACAATGGCTTGGAGGCCAAAGCTGTAGTCCTTTTTAAAGGGCAAGCTATTGTTGGATATATAATGAAAGAAGGAATGGATTATTTTTTGCTTAAAGAAGAGTGTCCTGATCAGGGAACAATGAGAATGATGGGAGAGGAAGTGATGAAACCAGTTGTAGATTTTAGATTTGATATTATAGGAAATTACTGAAGCTTCTGGAGCAAGGGTGTGATGATGAAATGATGTTCAAGAGGCTCAATAATTCAATATAGGATCTACCCACATATTTATGCCACCACATACTTTCAAATAGAATTTTAATGGATTACATAGGACAGAAAATATTTTTATAAATCAGAATACAAACTATTAATAAGTATTGACTGAAAATGTAAGATTGAGAGCAGTTAAACTAGGTGGGACACTAGTACAGTAGCCTATGTTTCAGGAGGCTTAAGGATTTAGTTCTATCTGAGTGATGGCCATGGAAGCAGGAAATAAGATTCAATCTGTAAGAGACAAATAAAAGAGAAAGAATCAACAACACTTGGAGAAGGACGGAAATGGTCAGTGATGGATAGCAAGGAACTGAAGCTCAAGTAATCAAACACTTACCACCTATCATATTTTGTGCTGGGTATGGGGGCAGGCAGGCTACACAAGAAGTTTAAGATGGGGACTCTGACCCTAAAGGACATTATATTCTCTATCTGGGACTAGAAAACCAAAATATGTGAAACTGTGAGCTGAAGCCTACAGAGTTTGTTGAATGGAGATATGAGTACTGAGGATGGGCTTTAAATGGTTTAATTTGGATAAGTGGATAGAAGTGAGTCAGTTCCATGTGTAGGAGAGGAGCATGGTGTTTGAAGTCAAAGATAGAGCAGTAAATAACACTAACAAGGTCCCTACCTTCATGGAGTCTGTAGTCTTGCAGAGAAGGAAAGCATTCAGCAAGAAGTTACAATGTTATATGTGTTATGAAAGGGGAAGCATGGATTTTTATAGGAGTAAATAACAAGGGACTGAATCTCATCTAGGAGTTAGTAAAATGAATATGCATTTGAAAGCAAGGGGGAAGACAACCCAGATAACAGAAACTACAGGTCTGAAAGTCCTGAGGCAATAAAAAAGCTCAGCATGTTGGAAGAATTGATTGAAGTCTGCTATGGCTAGAAAATGGAGAGGAGAGTGAAGAGTGACAGAAAGTAAAGCTTCAGAGGTATGTATCTCTCCTACTTCACATAGAAAATGGAAGCCATCCATATTTGTTATATATTCTTGTGGGCCAAGAATCCAGGTGTGTTTAGTTGGGTAGCTCTGGCTCAAGGTCTTGCATTAAGTTGCAGTCAATCAATCTGAGGCCATATTATCTGCAATGTCATCTAAAGCCATGATTTCAGGAGGATATCTTTCCAAGTTCATAGATGTGAATGCAGGATTCAGTTATTTGAGAACATCTGGATTGACGGCTTCAGTTCTTCACTGACTACTGGTCACAGGTTTCTCTCAGTTGCTTGCTACATGGGCCTCTCTATAGGGTA